ATGGAGATACTAGTCTTTTCAGTCTTGTATCTTGTTTTAGGCACACAATGCACAAAAGATACACATAAGCTGGAGAAAACTCAGCGTAACGTGCATAAACTGCAGATTTAAGGAGGAATCACTTCACAGTCATTTTGCCTACTTTTTTCACAGTTTATTTGCATGTTTTCCTAAATAAATCTCCTAGATACCTCAGCATTTCCATTCTTCACACTATTGTTGCTCCTTATTGAATCTGTTTCTTGATATCACTATAGGGGAATGACTATCACCAAATACAGAAATCTTACTATAGGATTATTTCCGTAATCATAATCCTGGTGATACTGTTTAAAGTCACCAAAGGAAACAAAAGTTTTATTTATTTATTTTTACTATAAGTAAAACTTATAAAACTGCACATAAGTTAACAATTTCCATTACATTGCATCTGATTAATGTTATAAGCTGTTTTAAAATTATTCCATTTCTTTTTTTTTTTAATGTTAATAACTTCTTCAGGAAGAAACTAAGAATGTACTTCAGAAAGCCTTTAATATGCTGATTTGAAAATGATAGTGGCTTTTAACATAAGAATACCCATTCATTGCAAAAATACTTCAGAGTAACAATAGGCCTTATTCTAAGAAAAAAGAGAAAAAAAAAAATCAGTGCGTGAGTGGAAGAAAAAAAAACAAAAGTATTTTAAATATCCTCCATGATCTTCCAACTAACATTTTCAAGTACTTTATTATACAATAAAGTCTTTCTGAAGCCTGCTCTGAGAAGCACTGCTGGACACTAATCTCAATTAATTCAAATGCAAATTAACTGTGAACTTCACCCTACTTCAAGCAATCAGCACAAGTATTGCCAGATCTCCCCTCATTTAACTCTTTACAACTTGTTACTTTCTTGAGATTTGCACAATTCAGCAAAGGAGAAAAGTGATTCACCACAATTTCATTTATAAAATGTTATTAAGTAGACTTAGTATTTTCATCGTGTAAATATCCGCATAAACATGGCTATCAAATAAACCCTGCTATCAAATCAAGCTAAAAATAGGTAGCAAATACATAACTTCAAGTAGTTTCCACACAAGTGGGCAAGGAGTTATTCGTGGCTAGATAACAACAGTTCAGTTGACTTCAGCTGATTTCATTACATCTCTCAAGGCAGTACACTCAGCCCAAATAACCAGAGATATTAATGACACGGGGGAAACGGGAGATAACAGCAAATGGGGAGCAGTTTCACTGCTCTTCTGCCACTATAAGTGCACAGAAATTTCTTTATCTGCACTGACCCACCCTTACTGTGCCGGTAAAACCAGAGCAGAACAAATGAAAATACACGTTGATAAATGTAAGAGCTGGAAGAAGTGCTACTTTTAGGAAACAAGACTTTGTAACCAGAGGTTACTCAATTAACCCAAAACCCAAAGAATTTGTAAAATAGCATAGAGGAGAGCTAGGTCACAGATTCGATTCCTTTGAAGGTACAACTGCATTCCCTTCTTATTATCAATCTTTGATTTTAATGAGGTTGTTCAAGGGAATTTCACTCAGCACCATACAACCACAATTGACATTCAATGCTCAGCCTTCTCAATATCTGTTTATACTGAAGTTTCAGTGTGCTGTTGTACTAATGTAAAAAGAACGTTCTTTGTCTTTTCTGCCTATCAAGAGGAAGGAAAAGCACACTGTATTAAATATGTATAACATCTCACGTAAACAAGTTGCCAGACTTTTGATTTCTTGACAGCTATTCCCTACACATTGGAAAATGAGTAAATAAATAAATAAATAAAGCTTGAACTATAAAACAGGTTTAAACAGATTTGCAAATAAACTTCCTAATCTATTTACTTTGCTTTAAAGTTATGTAACATTCTAGGTCAAGCTACACTGAATAATTAACAATTATTTCGCTATGCTAACTTAGAAAAAAAGAAAAACAAAGAGTGGCATTTGATTCAAAGTTGCAACTCGCTCTTCATATCCTGTATTATTCCACAGAATTTGTCAGCCTGGAGAAAAATATTAAGAATTGGCCACCTAAGTTTCAGTTTACCTTTCACTTTAGAAATTTCTAAGCTAAATTCAGAACTGTCATGAGATAAACTCGTACTGGAGCTCCACCTTCTTGCTTAGCTTTGTACAGCCTTGCTTTCATTAGAATTTTATATTCTCTAGAAATCAAGGAAGAGTGACGCAAAACTTCTGAATTTTTATAGAAAATAACAGTCTAGAACTGCATACATTTATTCCAAGAAAATTTGTTTTTCAAATAATTTTAGTGAAATAATTTGTATTATGGTATATTTTTCTTTATCTAGTGTTGAATATCCTTGCTTTTTTAAATATATACTGAAGAGTATTGAGAAAACTCTCACAAAAAAAAAAAAATTAAAAAAAAAAAACCCACAATGACAAACTGGCTTATTATATCTAGAACACATCTAGAATCAAACAAAGTAACATTAGCTTAGGGTTGCTTTTTCCTAAGTACCATTTCTCAGCCCCACTGATGACCCACTAGCCTAAAAGTTTTAAAATGTGTTGGTGCAATCAATAAGCATATGCCAGCACACGCACATACCCATGTGCTGGTCAATGTATGCAAGATCTATTAAAGCAGCACTAATGCAGTGGGTTTCCCTGAATACTGATTTTATGCCAACAGTCCTCCCTGAGTTTGCAGCATTTTTGCAGGCAACTATTTAGCTGTGTCATTAGTGTTCTGTTGTATTCAACATTTGACTATTAAGGGTCTTGGAACTTCACATTTCCTTCCAAGTATACAGATATACTTGAAAAGGATTACTGCTGAAGACAGTAGTCTGAACTGTCTAAACACTTTTTACAACAACACATGAGCAGAATTGTTATGAACCACAATGTAAAAATTCTACTTGATGTAAAAGCATATTTAGAAAAACACTTTGTTGAAGTACAGTAGTGCCATTTTATTTCCTCTAGAGCCTACTTATCATTCCAAACCTCTCTAGTTTAAACTTGATTTATAAAATAAAACAGTCAAGTGGAAACCAAGACAAAACATCGCCCAGAAGATACAAAAATGCGAGATAGAAATTAAGGTACAGAATTAATATTTCAGCTTCAAAGTTTATTATCTGATTGATGCTGGTAAAATGACTGATCTCAGCAAGATCAATGACTTTCACTCATGTAATGATGGATGTAGTCGCTTTGCAGTTAACAGGACTGTTTGTATGAATAAAGACTACTCAAGTGAACAAGGATTTGCAGATTCAGTTCATGAACATGTCAATGACAGATGAAAACACCTGTCTTAATTATTTGGTAGACTGTTAATGAGAATTTACAGTAAGTGCAAGTGCTGTGCAAGAAAAAAATTTCCCTATCTTTTTGAAAGAGGAAAATGAAGCTGTTTCATAATTAGTGAGAAAAAAAAAAGAAAGAAAGAAAGAAAATCATCTGCGTTTCCTAATACTATTTAAATGCAACAAAAGTCTTAGCAGCCTATATTCACCTCAATTTTCTTGCTTTCAACTTCACTCCTCAGTATTTCTATGCTGCTACCAGATTGTTGTCTTTGTATTCTGGCTGATAAAAACATCCAGTACAAACACCTTAACATTAAATAAGTGCTACAGGACCATAAATAAATAAATAAAATACCATAATAACATGAAATAAATCTGCTATGATAAGATTCATACTGCCAACAGAAGTTTCTCCATGCTTACAGTTGCGACAGCTGCTAGTTCTTGAACAAGACAACCAAGTAAAGAAAAAACGTGTTTTAGAGGTTTCCAATCCAAAGAAAATTTTCCAGAGCTACAAGAGTATAAAGCAATACATCATGCTACAAAAAGCAGGGTGAGGGCCTCATTTGCTTGTCTGTTCCATTCAGTCATCACAGTTGCACTGCTACAGGCAGCAGATTGATTCTGGAATCAACCTTTACCTCAGAGAGAAGTCCCTGCATGGTGCTCTGCCCTGAGTGTGCAGAAATCCCTGCATAGTGTTCCATGTGTGCAGAACTCCCTGCACGGTGCCTTGCTCTGCCTGTGCAGAACTCCAGCAACTCCCAGAAGAAGTAGAAAAACCTTCTGTGAAACACAGCGCCCTACCAAGCTTATAAAAGGTTAAACACTTCTGGAATAGCAAGACATTTCAAATAGCAAGGCATTTCATCTGCCCACACTTCCCAGTTCCATTCAGCTACCAACAGCAGCAGTGCTGTAGTGCAAGATACTTCTGCATTACTAAATCTGAGTTATGCATTTACACCTAGCTACAGTCTGGAGGAAGGCCTGACATTTGTCAATCAATAGCAGAGCAAACAACTCACAACTTTCATGGGCTCACACACACTACATTGCACACACTGACCTTGGAGACAGCAGTCGGGCTGATCCCTTTCAGAAATACACTATTTCACAAGTTTCCAGCGTTAGAGCCTATAATTGTTAATCACATATAGAGGTCCAGCTGTCCTTGTGTATTACACACACACAACAAGCACGCAGATGAACACGCAGCAGCATGAGGCCATGCTTTTAAATCCTCTTTAATTCCTACTTTGCTCTCTACTTCCAAGGATGACCTCATACATCCATTCTAGATCCAGACAGATCATTTAGGGCTTTTCTTGTTCCCCCAAACCGATGTTTACTCAAAACAGTTTCCATAATGTCTCTTGATAGCCCATTAAAATATTGAAGATGTTTAAAATAAAATAATCACATACATTTAAACATCCCTGTAAAAAACAAGTTTTCTAGGAAAAAGAAAGAAAAAAACCTCTAACTTCTTGTTCTGACTCCATCTTTTGCATCCAAAATCCCTTTTGCCAAGGCATGCCTCTTTCCCAAGTGTTGCCCCTTCACTGATCAAAGGACAAACAAGCTCCCAACTTTGCTCAGCATATTATTACCAGCTTCTCCATCCCTCGTCACCTCAGTACTACTTGTAGATAGATATCAACCAAAGGAAGAAATAAATAAATAAATAAACGCTGCTTACCTTACCCAAGAGTCACTTAAGTCCTCGAGGAAAAAAAAAAAAAAAATAAAACCAAAAAAAAAAAAACCAAAAAAAAAAAACCCAAACCCAAAACGAAACGCCGGGTCCTCGAGCACAAAAATCGCGAACACCGGGCGATACTTCTCCGTTCCCCAAAACCAAGCGCAAAACCGAACAACCCGCGCAGCGACGCGCGGAGAAACCCGCCGGCCCCAGGCGCCGCGGGAGGCGCGCGGGGCGCCCGCCCTTCAGCACCGCCGAGCCGCGGACAGCACCACCGGTCGCCTGAGCCGCCGAGCCCGACTGCCGCCCGCAGCCGCCGCCGCTCCGCCCGGCCCGCCTCCGACCCGCCCCCGCCGCGGCCGCCCCGCCGCCCAACTTGCGCGCAACTCCCTCCCGCCCCCTTTTATTATCATTAGCGCCTCCTGCGGAGGGGGAGCCCTCGGCTCAGCTCCCCCGCTTCTTGTCTGTCGGAGGGCCGTCGTCCCGGGGGAGTTCGCCCGTCCCCCTCTCTCCCCTCCCTTTCCACCGGCCACCCCCACCTCGGGAGCGAAGACCCGAGTGCTCAGCCTAGACTACAGCCAGCAAGAAGCGCAACTGCTGTGAAGCAGAGAGCGGCTCCCGACCCAAACGTGTCAGAGGATTAGCGTGCTTCCATGTTCAAAGCAGGGCGAACGCCGTGCAATATTTATAAGCTTTAATACACCAACCTGCTAGCAAAACTCTCAGGTTTTTCAGAGGTTCGGCCTCACCCGTCTCAGTAATCCCTGCCATTCTTATCAAGATCTACTATTTAAGTTTTGAGGTAAAGCTCCTCACTGGTAACCCATCTTAGAAGTATACACTTGCCACTCTGAGTCTTCTTTACAAAACATACCCTGAGATGAGACCACCAGTCTGTGTGTAGGATGGAGGGCAGGCACCGCCATATGAACAGAAGCCAGCACTACCCCCACCCAAGAAAAAAAGATTAACAAAAAAATAAAGCAAATAGCCTGAAAACTAGAAATATCCTTATGCAAAACGAAGCCAAGAAACAATTGTTTATAAGTCTCAGTTGAACCTCTTTTCTTCATTGTGAGATAATAAGTTCAGTTACCTGATTTATTACTTTCAGATAAATTTATCATTCATTCCAACACTTTCAAAGAGTGGCTACTTAATCTTCCATGTGAAATCATTATGAAAATTATCTACTCTTCGAGGCATTACAGGTTACATGCTTCCAGTCTTTTGGGAAAATGTGCTACAGATTAAAGTATTCAACTGCCTTTAAATCATCCATGGCCAGAGTAAGATGGACAGAGGTCAGCTCTTCTGATCTACAGTAGCAGGTTACTTTAATTACACCTGCATCTAGAGCAACTCTTCGTGGAATAAAATTGTAGGGACGAAAAAACAAGGTAAAAATGCAGTACTTAAAGAACTGAAATAGTTAATGTGAGAAATAATAAAATGGGATACATTGGATTTAATTTGCTGATTGCTATTTTGTAAGGTTTTTTTTTTTTAAAAAAAAAGAAAAAAACAGGACTGCTAATTAGGTCAAGGCACTACAAGAAGAAACAATTAACTTTTACACTTTTATACATCACATGTGCAATATAAAGCCAAATCAAACAGACTTTCATTGATACAACCTGTTATAATTGCCAGTTACCATAAGGCCTGTTTGGCTGGCAGTTAACATTACGTGCATCGCTGTGGTTCTGTTTCTCTCCTCATTTATTCCAAAGCCCTCTCAGGTTGCTTGGAAAGTACCAACAGAATAACATTTCATTACTTAATGACAGTTTTGAAGGTATAGAACTGAAATTGAATCAATTTAACTTCCTACTAGGATAGCTGGACCAGAAGTTCTCTTGAAAGACAAGCAAACCTAGAAATGACTGGTTTCAAATTCAATGGAAAATAAAGTCTTCTGAGGGCAAACATGGACCTTGCCCACCCACTTTTCTTTGCTATTATGAAAGTACATGAAACAAAACAACTGAACAGAAGAAGTGTTTTGTACAACCCAGTTCATGAAGTAACTGAAATCCATCAAACTACGCAAGGTCTGACACGCTGGCTTTCCAAATTGGTAGGGAAGGCTCTGGGAAGAATTCTCAAAGTCTTGTGAGGGAAGAGTTTGACTCTTTAATTTAAATACAAATAAGGATATAGCGTAATATAAAACTTGATATATATATATATTTTTTAAAGTTGAGATCCAATCATGCTTATCTTTCTTCTTCGGACACTTGCTTTGACATCTAGTTTATGAAAAATTAATTTAATTAAAATATTTTCATGTAGTAAATGCAGAATATTTTGATAGAATATGCATTTTCTAATGTTTCCTCTATTTCAGCTCCGAATATGTAGCTGTCACAGACAGTTGATACAAATCTTTTTTATACTCATCCAACAGTTTTCTGGCTTCTACTCAATATAGTATAAAGTATACCTTTTTTTGTGAATTAAATTTTGTGTGGCTTGCCCTACTTTTCTGCAAAATAAGTAAATAAATAATCAGTGAGTGAACTTGAACTATTTTGTGACCTAGAAATTTCATCATTCCTGTTTTTGGCCAAAACCTTTCAGTCCACAGAATCCTACAGCAGACTATTGCTTCCCTTTACTGTAATATAGACCAAAGTACAACAATTAGTAAAGAAGATAACGTGTTTAACAATTAACTGTTATTCGGGAAAGACTGGTGTTTCTTAATAACATGGCCCTGATTTCCATAACTTCAATTTGGATAGTTAGAACAAGCTGTTAGTTACATTAAGTTTTCTTTTTTTTTTTAATTCAAAATCAAACAGTCAGAACTGAGGTTTTCTTGCAGAGGTGAGCAATACAAAGGAACTTCAAAGTTATTTTACGCCTATTAAGACTATCATTATTAATAATGAAGATCTTCCTGTTCTGTATTTGTGAGGTAGTTTAAAACAAGATCCAATACAGCAGGAAAGTGCATGCAGGACAAGGAGAAGATCAAAGTCTCAATATATTAAAGGCAAGTCACTGCAAATAATAGTTGTTTAGTGAGCTATTCAGTATTTGTCCAAAACATTTGCTCTCATAATTTAAAACCTATCCCTTATCCACTGAATTTAGAATAACAGTGGCTTTCTTAGTCTGAATAATTTGGATCTGCTTTTCTGCCACAAGTAACCATTTCTCCAGAACTATTTACCTCCCAAACAGCCTTGAATGTGAAATGAATGCAGAATTACAAAGTAAACACATTGTGTCAGAAGTGGCTATTTCTCTCCTCCTGGCTTTTCTAGTGCTATCACTACTAAAGCTATTTAAAATCATTTTTATGTGCTTGGATTTTTGTCTTAGCAATTTGTAAAGAGAAAAAAAAAAAAAAAAGATAGGAAATTTAAGAGAGTTTCACCATTACTACTCACTCTTTAAATTATTCCACCGACTTCCCCATAGCTTGGTACCACTCAGCACCTATGCAACAACATACTATCTTCTGGTGGTATATCTTCAAGCATTCAAAGGGAGAAAAGGGATCACCTGATTTGCATTATCAAATTAGCAGACAATCCACGCTCCTGAAATCTGATACTGCCAAGGATCAATTAATTTGCTGTCCTGGCTAAACTGACAGAGTAGAACACAAGACTAAAAATAACCTGACTGCACACATAAAAGTAGTTTAATTTATATTTCTTTTTGAAACATTATTCTTTTATTTTTACTAGAAGACAGCTGTCCCTTCAGTGGCAGCTGTTACTAGTAAAGGCCATTGATTAGCTTGAAGTAAATGACAGCAAGAGAACTCTCAGCCTGCTCTGATATGGGATGGCATGAATTAGCTTCCCAATCTTACTCTCTCACACACGCATGTACAGCAAGAACTTTGGAAACAACCATGTTTTCCTCAACTTCTCGTGGTCTAATACACTCAGTGTATAATCTTTTAATGAATTTGAGAAGTGATAGCACATGCATTAGAAACACGGCGCTGATCAAAAAGCATGATGAAGTGTGCTAGATCTGGCCTGCTGCTTTTGTAACAGCAGGGCATCATGAACACCAGAATGGCAGACACTGGCAAATGGCACAGAAGAAAATTAGCTTGCTTGTGGCTTGGAGAGAGGTTGTGCCAGCCATCTGGCACAGGAGATGGGCCACATGGCATGAAAATCATCAAGGCACATTAAGGTTACCCCACATCCACTCAAAGCCTGTTCTCACAAAGGGACTCAATTCTTTAAATAAAGGCAATATGCAACATTCCAGTGATGACAATACACCTATCTTTGAAATGTATTAAAGTAATTCACAAGACAACAGATGTAAAATCGAGAGGTGGGAGGGAGAGGGAGAAGCCTAGATTTTGAGGTTAGATACGTAAATTTCTCCATTATTTCTAATTCAGTAAATGCTATAGGTTCATTCAGATAGGCAGCAACTTTGCAATGATAATGATTCTGACAAGACAACGTTGTTTCCATTCTCCTTGTGTGATTATAAAAAAAGCAACTGATTAAAAAATAACAAGGTAATTCACTACAGAATTCATATGCACATTAGAAAACACTATTGAAAATTAAGTGAGAAATGAGGACACATTTAATTTCTTACCATCCAGCCTTTTTCATTTGTAATCAAGTAATTTCAATATTCTGGAATTTGAAATCTGTAACACCGTTTCACAGAAAATAATGGATTCTTTTAAACAAATAGAGAGCAAGCTGAAGATACTTGGTTTCAGTCCTTCACGGTGATGTTTATAAGAGATCTCTTAGGGCATCTATTGGGGAATCTTAGTATTGCACTCTAAGCACAGGGTAAGAAAGAACTATTTCTTCTGCTAGTAGATTTAACAAGAAATATTAATTCTAATATTTTTCTCTTCCAAGTGGTCTTCATTATATTGAGCAGAGAGTTCAATAAAAGCCAAATAAGAAAGGCATTTTAGCACTGATCTTGAAATCTTCACAGATGAAAGTATTCACTAGTGGAATTAAAGAACTAACATTCTACATTTGATCATTTGCCATCTCACTGAATCTTGAGTATTTACATTTGTTCTGACCTAAACATGTCATGTTTTAGATAAATACTAGACTGATTTCTCCTTTTACATAAAAAGTTCACTGAAAACCATAGTGTGGAATTCATTTCATAACGATTAGATTTTCTGAAGAAGAGATTTTGGTTTAGTGTTATTTATTCTTGAAGTTGGTTTTCTCACCTATTTAGTTGTTTTTAATTTTGAATTTTTACTTAGGGAGCTGTGGTAGTAATCCGGACATCTCTACGCATTTGTCATGATTTATGTCTGTT